CAAAGTCATTTATTCAAATAAACTTAATTTAAGCACTTTTAAATAGTCATAACATTATTTTTTATCTACCGCTCGTTCGGAAAGCTGTCTCATCACAAGAAGAACGAGCAAGAAACTTGTGTGTTGCTCTTTTAAATAGTCCTTGTAAGTTCACATTTTACAAGTCGAAACGTGTGTATACAAATTACTAACCAGCACTCATTTTTTTGGATCTAATATAAATATACAATAAGATGAAATCAGTCGTAGTGATAAGAGCAGACCAGTCCCTACAAGCAGCACTCGTTCACGAGTATGACAGATGAGTCAGCCACCACTGCGCTCGACCATATTTTAGGGAGCCCAATGACCCGGCCCACCACGCCGCCGCCACATGTCTGGACATTTTAGTGAGCATGACTACTCATTCCACTCGACGATAGAAAACATGAGTCTTTATTTAAATGTTGCAAACCAATCGTCATTTATCTTCTATCATCTATTTTAAGATGTAGATATCTCTTGGTATGTTAGATTAATGTTATCAGTTTATCACCGGCTGCCGAAGGTGTTAACGACCTCTGTTGATGATTGTAGATGTGTATGATTACGTTATCTCAACGACCACTAAGAAAACTTCATCTCTGCTTACAAAAACAAAAATATCACTTGTTTATAATTTAACCTACGTACCTACTTATTTAAAAAGGTTTACATATTGTACCAAATTGAAATACCTACCTCGAAAAATTTAATTCAAATTGCTACATTTTTTCGGACTACTCTAATGCTGTTGGCCGCAGCTGGCCTTTACAGCTTCACTGGAATATTGGGGGCGAGTGCATATGGCACTCCAAACCTTAGTTTGGAGTGCCATCTGCAAACCTTACTTCCCTTAGGAAGGACTTATGGAGCGGCTGAAGGAACAACTCCCGCCTGACGGATACGACTTTAGTCTGAGGACACTGCTAGGGGTTCGAACCTCGGCTCAGGCCGTCCTATTTTCTCTTCCTTTTGAATTGGACGGAGAATTGATAGGAGGGGAAATCTGCTACCGTCGGAAAACGTAAAGTCGATAACCATCCGATTACCAGCTTAGCGTACGAAAGCAGATTCAAATTCATCATGTAGGACATTTTTAATCATTTTTTATATTATAATTTTTTCTCTACCCTTCAGTTCAGTATATAGATCCAATTGAGAAGAACGGGCAAGAAACTCAATTGAATTACTATTTTTCTAAAAGCCAGTTTATTTCAATGTATATTTATATAGGTGTCTGTGTCTAACATTAAATGAAAATCCCGTGCAGGAACAACTATTGCCATGCACGTTCGTCATTCAAGTAATCGTTTAGTGAGTAATTGGCTTTGTTCAGGAAATATGATTTAAAATTTATTTAAGGGCAATTCCAGTATATCTCTTGATATCTTATTGTAAATAGTATATACCTATTCCCATAAAAAACCTGACTTTTTCTAAACGATACTTGTGACAGTCTTACATGAATAGAATGACATTTTCGACCTGTATCATATCCTGTCGATGAAACAGAATAAGAATTGAACTTCTCTCAAATAAACAAAATAACCAATAATTAGTAATATAACAATCACGCGATCTTACCACGTTTTATATTTATTTGCTGAGTTCCCGATATTTCGGTAGTGTTTCAACCACCATGATCACGGGTAAACTGATCTTAACCGTATTATTCTTTTTAATAATTACACGTATAAATAATGACGGTGTCAAATTTAAAACAGTATATAGAATAACCAATAATGAAAAAATAAAAAAAAAAACGTTAATACTGATAACAAGTAAAATTAATCTAAGAAAAACAAAGGGACAGTAGATTTTAGGCATCACTGTCACAAATAACCGATAAACGAACTGTACAAGAGTTGCACGAAGTAAATATCTTTCTACACAAAGATGTAACACACGCAGACAGACAGAAATAGAAATAAACTTCATACATTCATAATTTAAGAGCTGTGCTCTTGTCGGTGGAGCTCCCGCCACCTTCTACGATCTTCTATCAGTCCTTTTAGCTGTTGATACGACACGACTCCAGCTTTTTCTTTAACTTGCTTGATTGCATCAAGCAAGTTAAATAAAAATAACTTTCATTCAAATAAATTTAATATAAGCGTATAATACGAAAGTAACTGTCTGTCTGTCTGTCTCGCTTTCACGCTAAAACTACTGAAACGATTTAAATGAAATTTGCTACTCGACTAGACCCTGAGAAAGGATGCAGGCTACTTTTTAATGCGAAAAAAGGGTTTTAAAGGGTTGAAAGGAGAGACGAAAGGTTGTATGGAAGTATCGTAATTTTTAAAGCTAGAATCTTGAAACTTATTTTATAGGCTGTTGATTAAATATAAGTATCTGTGACATTTTAAAATTTGTAAAAATTTTAATTTTTACTCGGTAATTTTGTCAGTTAAGGCATAACAAAAAAGTTGATAAAAGTTTGTATGAAAAATCGACATTATTTAATTCTCGAAATTCGATATAACTTTTTTCTTTGGCTTTTATTGGATTAGATTATTAATACTTTTCCATTTGTCAAGGTCACTATTTTACGCGGACAGAGTTATGGGCACAACTTAATAATATATATTAAGAAAAGTCTCAAAAATAACTCCAATTCCTAACATACAATGTGAAAGTAAACTGCGATTGTGTTCGGCGGAATTTTATACGGCGTGCACTATCTGTGTGTATCTGTTCGCAGCCTCCTCATCTCGTTTATCAGCCGTGTTGACGTTTACGCAACGTGTTTGTACAATCTTATTCAGTGTTAAACATAAGTCTATAGCAGTCGGTAGTGGTGGTGACTGCAGTACATCGCGGTGAGTGCAAACTCCCTAATTACCATTGTATAGTCCACCTAATAATTGTTGATTTATTTAATTTGTTTTATCTGTAGTTAATACACAAATTGTTTGTTATTTCATATATATTTGACCTGTGTTTACATATAATTACGGTAATTATATATTAGTTAATTTATTTGTTTTTTATAATTTGTATTTGTGGTGACTGTATACAGAATGTTGAAGGATTTCGTGTAATTAATAAATAGAATAGAATTATAATAATGTAAATATTATTAAAAGCAAATAAAATTTAAATAAATAAAGTTTGATGTATGAGAAAATTTATAAAACATGCAAACAGACCTAACATATAATACTTAACATAGGAGTTTATTTTATAAATATTATTTTTAACAATATTCAAAAGTATAGAGAAAATATATCAAATTATTATAAAACTGTAAAACATTACATACAAATTTTGTGGTAGAATAACCAAAAACATTTCTTACAAACTTCGTAATGTTAGTATTATATAATATATTATATATTTATATAATATGATATGATTAAAACTTATTGTAAGTTATAATTAAGTCGGTGTATTGCCGGGCGCGGCATCATGTGATGATTGTTATGTTAAAATTCCGCTAGGCGGCGATACCGTTGCACTCAGCTCTAACTGATCTTGCCAACATTTTTTGACCAAAAAAACGAGTAAACTGGTTTGGATAGAAAAAAAATAAGTATTAGGAAAAATAGTATTTTTCAAATTTCATGTTTTTATTGCTTTAAAAACGTATTTTTGTGTGCTTTTAACACAGAGCTGTGACAAATCTTCGTACGGACTTCGTCCGCGTGGAATTTAACTTTATTTTTCTTAATTTATTCGTTCCATTAGGTACTGATAGGTTCAAACTAATATATTTACATCCTGCATCATCCCTTATTTTATCCCATGGGGGTTGAATTTATCAAAATCCTATTTAAGCGAACGTCTTCATCCTAGTAGTTCCAATCTTTAATTTCAGTTCAATCAGTAAAAAATCTAAGAAGATTTATACAAATCTTATTTTATCCCCTTATTTTATCAAAATCCTTTCTTAGGAATGGAATTTATGCATGGAAAGTCTCAGCCCGATCGGTTTAAAATTGACAAAGTTTCATACAAACTTTCATCCCCTATTTTATCCCCTTGGGGGTAGAATTAATCAAAATCCTTTTTTAGCGGATTCCTACGTTATAACATCTACTTGCATGCCACATTTTAGCCTGATCCGACTAGTGGTTTGGGCTGTGCTTTGATAGATCACTATGTCAGTCAGTCACCTTTGAGTTATATATATATATTTAGAAAGATTGATACCCTGCTCCTATTAGAAGATGAAGAAGGTTGACCAACGCCAAAATAAATTTTCAATACGAATTTCGTAATTCAAGTTCTTAATGTTTGCATGTTTTTTATATAGAAAAATATTAACATATTTTAAATATTTAATTAATAATTGTTTTAAATTCTGTAGAAGATTTTATATCTAACTGTACACTAATTAAATTATAATTTAAAAATTTATTTATATTGGTAGTGGTTTGAACAATTTTATGGTTTAAATAATTTACACACTTTGAAGGGAAAATTTTGCTGATCTTACACAACAATTAATAAGGTGTATTAATTGTTGTGTAAGATCTGCTCTATGCAATTACCAGTAGGTATTTTGTGAATAAACATTCATTTAATTTAATTTCATTATTATTGTATTACATCTTCTGGATGTTTTTAATATAACCCCAGTTTCTTTTATGACAAAGGATTTCCCAAATCTATGAAATGTATGTAACATTTCAGAGATTTGGAAAATTGTCTTAAATCCACCAATTATATACATACAGAAATATACATTAACAAATAAAAGAAATGGTGACTATATGTGCCGCAAAGGTGAATAGGCAAAAGAAGATAGAAGTCTCAGAGTACAGAAATTTCACTTTAAACATCTTTTTATAGTTTCAGTTTAAAAATAATGGGACATTATATTACAATAACAACCAATGTAAACCTATGTTAATGGCAAATTAATCTGATTTGATATGATTTGATTTATATATAGTTTGCGCACACTACAAGGTTGGAGGGCAGCGGACAGTTATCTCACGGGAGTCTATTGTGCCGGTCAATAACATGAGCGGTCAATTGTGTTTGCCGACGTGTGGTAGACCATACAAATTAATACAAATCGATCATACACGCCTCCTCAGTTAGTGTGTGACGCGACGCGACGCTACCAAACACGATAATGCAATTTGCTGGTGTTAAATAAGTTAAAGAAAACAACAGTACGTGGAAAATTATAAATACAATTATCATATTATAGAAATAGAATAGAAAAGTCATAAATATAATTTCCGCAATTAGCGTCTCATTTGGGCGATTGTGCGTGTAGAGCCGAGACTACTAACGTAGCCAGCCAAGCTGCTCCCAGAAGCGCAGAAGACTCCTCGTGTGTTCACAGGGTTCACGGAGCGACCTCACCGTTCCGAGGATTTGTGTTCGTTGTGTGGCCACTGCAAGCACTCCAGGATTACGTGAACGGCCGTTTCTTCGGCTTCAAAGCAGCCCCGACAAAGAGGACTGTCTGTAGCATATATTGTGTACAGGTGTTTGTTTAAGGGACAGTGGCCTGTTATTGTCCCTATATTTTAAGGTTATGCCTATTTAGGTTTAATAGACGTTTTGAAGTAATAATAATAATAATATCTCAGGACGATTCACACAGCGCCATCTAGTCCCAAGCTAAGCAGAGCTTGTGTTATGGGTACTAGACAACTGATATAAATACATGGATACTTTTTTTTTTATATAAATACATATTATACATAGAAAACACCCAGACCGATACCAACATATATACTCATGAATACAAATGTTTGTACCGTGCGAGGAATCGAACCCACGACCATCGGATAGTAAAGCGGTATGCTTTAGCATAGCATAGTTTACCACTAGACCACCGAGGCTGTCAATTAAGTATAACAGTGAAGTATAATGTTATATAGTACTTGTAATTTATTTGGCCAACGAAAAAATCATACGGTATAAAGATATGATAGAATATTAGGCCAGTATCTCAATAATATAATTCAAATGTATAACAGTTTCCTTGTATCTATAAAATTTGAATTTAATCTAAATATATATAACTCAAAGGTGACTGACTGACATAGTGATCTATCAACGCATAGCCCAAACCACTGGACGGATCGGGCTGAAATTTGGCATGCAGGTAAATGTTATGAGTTATGACGTAGGCATCCGCTAAGAAAGGATTTTGATAAAACAGGGGATGAAAGTTTGTATGATAAATTTTAAACCGTTCGTGAGACTTTAAAAAGCCGATCGTAGGCATCCCCTAAGAAAGAATTTTAATCAATTCCACCCCTATGGGGATAAATTAACACGAGCGAAGCCGTGGGCAAAAACTAGTAATAAAAAAATCCGAGACACCAGAAATCATCAATATGAAATAATGAAACTTAACATTTATTATTTAAATTTTGCAGATATCAAAAAACTTTAAGAGTTGAACCAATATGACGGACACGGTTCCCTCGAGTCTGCAGCCGGGCGCCGACATCCGGCCGGTCATCGACCACGAGGGCGTCAAACTCCTCGCAGAGAGGCTGTATGGCATCTCCGTGCTGGAGCTGGTCGAGCTGAATGGCTACGATGACAAAAACTACAAAATCACCGAAGATCCCAATGTGAAGAACCCTTTAATCACCACGCACAATCCGGACGGTTATGTGCTGAAGATCCTCAACTCGATGGACTCACAGGATGTCAGCATAGTGGAGGCACAGAATGAGATCATGAACTTCTTGAGTAAGAGCTTTAAACACTTACAGCGTTCACAACCTCGGTGGTCTATCGGTTTAGCAAGTAGCTTTACTTCCGTTGGTCGCAGGCTCAATTCCTCGCACAATGCGAATATTTGCATTCATGAGTATGATTGTTTGTATCGGTCTGGGTGTTTTCTATTCAAAACTTTATTTGCAAAAATATGAGCATGTAAATATATATATATTATTATTACAGTATAATAAAAATAATGGAAACAAATTACAAATGTAAATGTCGTTAAATTATTATATTATTTTTCTAAAATAAAAGTAGCCAAGTTACTCCTTATTACATCAGTTGCCTACCTGCTAATTTTGCGTGAATACAAAATTATACAGCCAAATAGCAAAGTTGACATAAATTAATAATTACTTAAGTAATAAAATAAATCAATCATAGTTATCAGAACAGACCAATACCTACAAGCAGCATTATATATTTTTTAATGGATGATAATAGAATGGACAAAGAATGAACAATAATCGTGCGTCTTGCAAGATAACATCAGTAAGTATAGTCTCTTATTCTTCGTTTGCCTCTTACAGATGCCCGTTCAGTGACATGTCCAAGACCAGTTCGCAACGTGTACGGCCACCTGCACTCAGTAGAGACGCTCGGAGGCAAGAAGCACGCTGTGCGACTGCTGGAGTACATCCCCGGAGAGATCCTGAAGAACGTGCCGCTCACGGAGCCGCTGCTGTACCAGCTGGGGGAGTTCGTCGCCAACCTGGACAATAAACTGCAGGTATATGTCTTTTTAAACTATTGCCAGGAGTTGAGCGTGTTTCATGATTTTATTTGTGATACTTTCAAATCACTTGAAAACTTGTCACAAGCAACACCAGTACTCGTAATTGAAAAGTCGTAAGCAATAGTAATTAATACTAAGATAAGTAATGCGTCTGTTTATTGATATTAAATATACTAACGGTCAACCAGTGATCAAAATTCACCCATAATACAAAATTATCTTAGAAGCTGCAATAACAATTAAACAAAACACTACCATAAATATAAAATTCATGACTGTCTGGGTTTAGCACACCACTTTACTTCCGATGGTCGCTAGTTCATAGTAAATTTATGCATGCAAAGTCTCAGCCCGATCGGTTTAAAATTGACAAAGTTTCATAGAAACTTTCATCCCCTTGGGAGTAGAATTAATCAAAATCCTTTCTTAGCGGATGCCTACGTCATAACATCTACCTGCATGCCAAATTTCAGCCCGATCCATCCAGTGGTTTGGGCTGTGCGATCACTATGTCAGACAATCCACATCGCTATAAATCTATTCTTCTTATATATAAAATCGAAATGACGTTTGCTAGTCTCGCTAAAACTCAAGAACAGCTGTACCGATTTGGGCTTTGATTTTGATTAATTCTACCCCCAAGGGGATAAAATAGGGATAAAATAAAACTTTGTCAATTTTAATCCGATCGGGCTGAGACTTTGCATGCATAAATCTACTACGACGTAGGCATTCTTTCTTAAGAAAGTATTTTTATAAATTGCACCCCTAAGGGGATAAATTAACGCGAGCGAAGCCGCGGGCAAAAGCTAGTATTAAATAATATGTCAAATATTATTTAAGTGTAAGGCGGAATGAAGTTCGCGGGTTCAGCTATTATAGAAATTCTTTATTTTCCTAACGTTTTTACTTCTGAGCTCTACTAATGCTATGATTTTCAACCTTGAGTGGAGTGACAGTGGACATGAAATATTGTACAAGATTATAGTATGGTGGCATGCGCCGGCGCATAACGTGTGTGACGTTCAAGGTGACTGACATTGTTATGTACGAGTGTATCTGTGGTGACCGTTTTAGTCATTTTTCCAGAATTTTTATCCACATGACAAACAGTATTTTCATTTTTATGGATGACTGGATGAATTTTATTAAAGACTGAATAAAAAACAGTTTTTTTGATGGGTGGCGATGGAATGATGCACCCGCCTGCGCTAACGGTATACGCTGGCGGGGCACCGGTGGAGGAAAATAGTATGAAAATGAGGTCAGGTCAGTTAGCCCATCGTGGCAAATTGACCAAGAATTTATCATGATGGTAGCTAACTTATCTGTCATACTCGTGAACGAGTGCTGCTTGTAGGGACTGGTCTGCTTTAATCACACTAACTTAATTACTCAATAAGTTAAAAAAATATTGCTAGTTGGAGGATCGTAATAACTTATTTTAACTTAAAAATGTGAAGTCATGACAAATATAATAGTGGATCTGTTCTCAAGTTTCTTGCTCGTTCTTCGTGACACAATTTTCCGAATGATCGGCAGATAAAAAAGATGGCTGTTTAAAAATAAATGTTTTGTTTAAATTTAAGTATATTTAATAAAGAATTTTCTATTCTATTCTATTCACGTCATACCCATGCTCTGTACTCTAATAAGTGTTATTTTGCTTCCAGAACTTCAATCACTCGGGTCTGGTGTCCCGGGAACACATCTGGATGCTGACCAAGGTGCCGGAACTGGAGAAGTTCAAATTTGTCATCAAGGATTCCGATAAACTGGACCTAGCCGAGGAGGTACTTGTTATAGGAGACAGAATGGTACAGTTAACGATAAGTCAAAGGGTTTAGCACACCGCTTTACTTCCAATGGTCGCGGTTCGATTCCTCGCACGGTACATACATTTGTATTCATGAGTATGATTGTTTGCAATGCTTTTAGTTTATCGTATGTACGTAGTTACGAATAAAATATATCTAGGTATCTATATCAGTTATCTAGTTTCCAAATCACAAGTTCTGCTTATCTTGGATCTAGATGGCGCTGTATGGATTGTCCATTTAGTATTGTTATTCTGTGCAGGTAATTGAGGAGTTCAAGTACGCTGTGGTGCCTCGTTTGGAGGAGCTGGAGCGTGGTGTCATACACGGAGACGTTAATGAGATGAACATCCTCGTCGCGACCAAACCTGGTGGAAGGTATTTCATGTTTTATATAATTTTATAGATTACCTGATCTGCGCAACTGAAAGCGTCATATTTTCCTTGCTTTTTGCATTTTTCCCGGCAGCTCTGCTCTTTTTAGTTGTACCGTGATTCGTATATATATATTATAGCATAGGAGATAAACGAACTAGCGGCTCACATGATGGTAAGTGATTACCGCCGCCCATGAGCACCCGCAACACCAGGAGAATTGCAAATACATTGCCGACCTTTTAAGAAGGAATAAACGTATTTCTCGAAGAAAGGAAGTATCAGTTCGGAAATACCATTGCGGGAAGATGATTCTACAATGGATAAACGCACGGTGGAGAATTGCCATTCATCCAGATGATCAGAATAGTATTTTAGTTTCTTGCAGGTAGTGCAATGGTGAAATTGCAGCTGGTATTAATCCGAATAGTTCCTTAGAACAGTCACTTGAGAAAATGCACAGAGATGCAACGTTAATAGGTCGAATCTGTCACAAAGACGTTGATTACCAATGATTCTGGCTGCTCGGTTCTCAATGCGGTCAAATGGAAGTAACTGGTATTGTGGTGCTCCCGCCCAAAGATGAGATGAGATGAGAACAGAGAGATGAGAACAGTATTCCATATGCCGCCGGATCTGTGCTTTGTATTGCAAGCGTTTGCAGTCGTGAAATACCGTCTCACTCTAATGAGCACACCTAAATTTTTGGAGGCTAATTTAGCCTTTTAGACCTAGATTATACTAAAGATAATTTATCAGTAAATTAGGCAACTGAGTACGTGTGTGTCGAGAGTTTGCGCGGATATTCTGAGTGGGATTCTGATGAGGTAAGCCAAGATAATGTTGGTAGCTTGTACCTTGGCTCACCTCGCATGCCTCACACTCAGACTTGGCGACCGTCTGAGTTTATTGTGTTAACATAATTACTTGTTAATTACTTTACTTTAATGTGTCATACATTCTGACATTACGCCTTTTTACGCACGGTCAGTATCGCGCGCGATTTAGCAGGGGGAAGCCAGCGCTCGCAATCATGTGGGATGTTAATTTTCCATAGATTAAATAGAAAATGGAACTCGAATAAGTTTTGTTTAAAGTTTAGATATAAGATGTTTTTTTTTCCATATCAATTTTTCCCTTTCAACCCCTTACAACACGGTTTCTTTATTAAGTTCTATTCATTCTATAGCTTAAAAAATAATGTTCAAGCTTCTAGCATTAAAAATGGCAATACTTTGCCTAACCTACTACCTAATGGCAAAAACCCTTAGGTAGATCTGCCCCTGAAAATGCAATCGCTCACTTTCCTGCGCTAAATCGCACGTGAATGAACGTGTCGTGTAAATTCAGAAATGTCTTTTGCCACTTCTTATTCCAAGTTATTATAAAAGTTTTATACTTTTCAGTCAATCAGACTACCGCATCTCCGGCATCATTGACTTCGGAGACATCCAGTACTCGTACTACGTGTTCGAGCTGGCCATCGCGATGACGTATGTGATACTGCTGACGGGCAACCCCGCGTCTGGTGGCCTGGTGCTCGCTGGGTACACCGTCAACAGGCGCCTGCCTGACGACGAGTACAGACTACTCAAGGTCAGTGGAATTTTATCTTTCATTCATTTATAATTTAAGAGCCACGCTCATGTCGGTGGAATCCTTGTCGCTTTCCATGATCAATTTTTCTTTCATTCATAATTTAGACGCCACGCTCTTGTCGGTGGAGCTCTTGACACTTTCCAAGGTCTTCCATCATGCTCTTTAAATGTTCATTTTATATTTACATAGTATAAAATAAGTCGCCACTGTTTGTTTGCTTATATCTTTTAAATTACGCAACAGATTTGAATGTAGTTTTCAGCAATAGATGGAATTATTCAACAGGAAGGTGTAGTAAGTAATAATGTAGCACATTCTTGTTATGGTATATGGAACAAACTGAGAAATTGGGGTTATTGGACCCCATTACTAACAATCCCCTCCCACGGGGTGAGGGGATGGTTGTAATGGGAACAGCTCGTTAGCCATTTAAATTACATATTAAAATTGAAAGTAAAATCTCTAAATGCTCTATTAACAGTAATATCATACCCATAATACAAGCTTTAGCTAGCTTAACTTATGTCTAGATGGCGCTGTGTGATTTGTCCTGAGATTATTATTATTATCGTTATGTTTTATTTTCACAGCTTTTGCTGGGTTTTTACGCTGTGCAGCATATACCAATTTTTTTTTATTCATACTCTTTGTATTCTCCAATTTTTTTGGTGTTATAGTTTAGAGTTACGGGTCATACTGACCAAGTCATTCTAGTATATTTAATTTATAGTTGTTTCGTCTTCCTGCATACATTTACGTGTGATACGACAGGTGTTTAATATTGCTTCTTTCTGCATTGTGATATAGATTCAAAACACGCAGGCTGTGTCTTAGGGTCGTTGGTATTACGCCTACACTGGAGATCACCAGAGGGACTATGCATGCACTGTGCAAATTCCAAATTCTGATCACTTCTCCCTTCAGCTCTGTGTATTTTTTTTTTTGTAAAGGTTTTACGTAAGTTAAGACAATTGGGTACAGCGATGTCCGGTCTGTTGTGATGTATTAATCTGTCTGTCTATATCGCTCTATCAAAATACATTTTGTAATTATTATTCTCGAGTTATTATTATCATAAACATTTTCCAGACCCTCATCTCTTCACGACTAGTCCAAAGTCTGGTCCTGGGTGCGTACACCAGCGCCCAGGATCCAAACAACGCGTACGTCACGTCCACGGAGAAGGCCAACGGATGGGAGGTCCTGCGGAAGATCAGGAAGACCATACCAACTGACCAGGACCCCACCGACTGGAAGACCATCGCCAACGATTATCTCACCAGGAGTTAATTGCATACAAACATATATACCAGTACTCATAGACATGTAATGCTCAAGATCATAAATTCTAGATTCTTCAACAGGATCTTCTAGAAGATTCTGTGCAATATTCGGGATTGTGTCCCATTATTTTAGTCAATTAATATTTCTCGTTACAGTATATAGCCTTATTTGTCAATAAATAAAAATATCAAAATAATTAGTGTTAGGTACCTACGTTAGTAGGGGCAGTATTTATACACGATTTGTTGTATATATATAAAGTATATTATTATAAATGTAAATTTCATATAAATGTATAAACAATAGTATAAAACAATCAAGAATTAGGTGCGCAAGAAATTAGTATGTCTGCTGAAGACGCCATTTTGTCGTCTTATTTTCCCGCGCAAACGTAACGCGCCACAGACGCACAATATTGCATTACTCATACCAGTAGTAACATAGCCATACAGCTATGAGTTATATGCATGTAATATAACCCCTAGCGGTGCCCTCAGACTAAAGTCGTATCCCTCAGGCGGGAGTTGGCCTTCAGCCGCTCCATAAGACCTTCCTTTGGTTTGGAGTGCCATCTGCACTCTCGTATCGTCCGGTGAAGCTGTAAAGGCCAGCTGTGGCCAACAGCATTAGAGTAGTCGGAAAAAAAAGATCAAAGAAATCCATCCACGAATATGACTAAATTAGTGGTTTCACTTCATCCCATACGAGCCACTACACTGGTGGAACACAACCTCACCCGGAAGACTACTTGAAGATCACGAATCAAGAAGCCACCACAAAAGAAAAGTAACGGATTTTAATGCACTATTGCATGCATGTATCATATCACTCATAGCTGTATGTATACCTATGTTAATACTAATCTGAGTATTAACAATTATTATATTAAAATGTATTTAATGGTAGTTGGATACATTACCCAATGTGTAGAAGCAACAATATATATTGTTTCTGTAATAAAGTATCCATGAAATAGTTATGACTTTTGGAATAAGCGCATAACATTTCGTCGGTTAAATAGAACAATGTCTGTATTCAAAATGTACATTTTTTACAAGACCAGCATTTAAAGTTATTTAAATTATTATTTTTTCCTTTAAAGTTTTAACAAAAATATACACCAAAGTAATATATATAATTGTAAAAGTATTTAGATAATGATTAAGACGGCGTGGTTAATTTAACTTATATAAAAGGAGGCAATTATAGCTTCTAATTTTGAAAAATGTCATTTTTGTTTAATTGGCGATTTGGCAAACGCAACGTTTAATTACAATATTTGATTAAAATTACAATCCCTGATAAAAACATGATTATTTTTATTATGAGTTTATATTGTATGCTGTTACCGCAACTTCGTCCGCGTGGAATTTAACTTCATTTTTCTAAATAAAAAAGTAGCCTAAGTTACCCAGCTATCTGCCAAAAAAAGTCCCGACAAAATCGGTCCAGCCATTTCAGAAATTAGTCTGAACAAATAGACAGACAGACAGATAAAATGATATTTTGGTGTATGTACCATATTTATATTCATATGCATGTAATAAAATACGTTTATTTCAATATTACAAACAGACAGTCCAATTTTATTTATATTTAGATATAGATTGTAGATACATTGGTATTGTATTAGTACATTTATTTCAACTATTAATATATATAATAATATATTTAATTAAGTCAATTAGTAGTTAGAGAGAGTAAATGTAAAAATAGTGTTAAGTCTGTAATAAATTATTTGTAATAATTATTTTTGTTTCTATTTATATTATAAACTAGCTGCACAGGAATTTAACTTTATTTTCTAAAATAAAAGTAGCCTAAATTACTCCTTATTAATCGGCTACCTGCCAATAAAAGTCCCATCAAAATCGATCCAGCCATTTCAGAGATTAGCCGGAACAAATAGACAGACAGACAGATAAAATGTTATTTTGGTATATGTACCGTATTTATCTCCTCCGATCGATCCCTCGTCCAATTCAACGTGATTGATGTTACGAGCCGAGGTTCGAACCCCTAGCGGTGCCCTCAGTCTAAAGTCGTTTCCGTCAGGCGGGAGTTGGCCTTCAGCCGCTCCATAAGTCCTTCTGCGAGTTTGGAGTGAGTTCAAGTCAAACACACCAGCGCTAATTTATTATATTTTTATGTCAAAACTCTTTCGAGATGAAAATAAGTGTTCGTTATTTTTCATCTCGTTCAATATTTTGTTAATTTGTCCATTACTTTATTATTTGACCCTTTATATTTACAGCGCCATCTGTTGGATTCTGCATACTTTAAAGCACAGTACATGTTAAAGCAGGCAGTTTCATGATTGCTAGTCTGGAGTTCCGCTTGAGAGTATTTTTTCCAAAGTATGATACTAGATGGCGCTTCTATGAGACGGAAGTGGAATATTATTACTTTAATTGCATTACTATGACAACGCACGAGTGGTATCACGGGCGACAAATTATAACTTGATGTCCATATATACCGTCGCCTATGTAGGTACATAGGCGACGGTTACCAGTTACCATCCGGTGGGCTACTACATTATTTGCCATATCAATTACATTTCGGGTTGCCAACCTTCTTTTGATAACAAAATAAAACGTAAGTTTATACGTAAGTTGGGTAGGAAAAAATAAAGTATTAGAAAAAAAAGTACTTTTAAAATGTTATGTCTTTATTGCATTAAAAACGTATTTTTGTGTGCTTTAGCACATGCTAACATTTTTTTATTAACTTTAAACGTTGCAAAGCTTGATTGCCAATCAATATTTAAATTTCAATAAATAAACAATTCGTTTTTAATCTTTAATTATAAATAAAACCAGCGGATCATTTTTGTACAATTTCGTCGATAGTGAGTGACATCTGTGTGACAAATGTCACAACTCACAATTGACATCTAACATTACGTTCAGAAATTATAAATCGTTAAGTGCCCATAATGAGTATTTTGTTTCACGCATCACAGTGAAGGTTGAAAATAAAGTATTTTTGCATACTTTATTTGTATGTAACCGTATAAAGTATAATTACCAAAAATAAAGTAGGATACGTTATTAAAAAGTAGATATGGTTGGCAATCCTCTTTACAATTAAAATTAAGTAAAATGTATGCCCATTCACCGTCATCTAAATGTTTTCTGCAAATAAATTAATTTGATTTCATTTCATAGAAGAAAAATATATTTGCCTTCAGTGTTAATAACGACTGTATGACCAATTTATTACACAATTTCGTGAAAAACGCAAAATATCTCTAAACAGAATGAAAATGAAAAAATTACGCATCATAAGTGTCTTGTGTATGACATAAATAAATATAATTTTGTATTAATCAGCGAGAGAGCCAGTCTGTCAGGGTAGAGTATTGTGTAATTCTGTACATCTGTGGTCAAAACCTCCAAAAGGTACTCGATCTGAGGACGAGATCAGTCCCTTGAGGTCGCCCGCAACATTCGGCTAAATCGATTTCTCATGTTCCTTTTGAATCCCATCCAATAACACTAAATTGTAATCTGCAACTCATAAACGTACCGCAAACGGCGTCCTGTCGCTGTTAGTTTCAATTTATGCTTACAATCGGCTACTTCAACGTTATTTTATTATTTATAATTGCTCTATTCGTGTCACTGTGACCTCAATCTTTAATTATTTTGGGAATAACTCGACTTTAAGCAACTCCGCCGCAGGCTCAGCCTAGGGTTGGCAACCCACGGGCGTGAGGTCGGACAACTGCCTCGTATGTTCCAGCCATTGGGAGGTTCTCCCATCCTTATATAAAAAAAACATCTATTAAAAAGAGCAACACACAAGTTTCTTGCTCATTCTTCTTGTGATGAATGTGCATTCCGAATGAGTGGTAGAATCAAAATATGACTATTCAAAAGTGCTTGTAATGAGTTTATTTGAATAAAGATTATTTCTATTTCTATTTCTATTTCCTTATGGAAACGTCCGCGGGGAACGGTGGATGAGCAATGGTTTGGTTCTAGTATGCCCTGAGCGGGATAGTAGTAGTTCCTTCGGGATATAGCTACTATATCGGCCGATAGTCCGGTGAAATAGAAATAGAAATAATCTTTATTCAAATAAACTTAATATAAGCACTTTTGAATAGTCAAGTTTTTTATTCTACCGCTTATTCGAAATGCAGACTCATCACAAGAAGAATAAACAAGAAACTTGTGTGTTGCTCTTTTAAATGAATATTGATTTACTTATATTTAATTAACAACAAGGATTAGGCATGCGAAAATCAACATAGAAACCGCTACGCACTTAATCTCTGTTCAATCAGATAACATTGTCAGCGCTATGAATTTTAAATTAGATATTTTCTACAAAAACATTATTATCATTTATAAATTCTTCAATTCTATAATAAGCTTTTTTATAAAGAAAATATTTTATGACACATTTGAATTTTTTTCTGGCAAATTGACTACAGACTCTGGCGCTTATTGTTAAAACTCGGGAAACGGGTCAAATGGTCGTGAGAAATGGGCCCAGTTGGGGGAATAAACCTAACATTATTACGTCCCTAACAGGCCGTAGTAACAGTTAAATCGTTCATTATGGTTCCATACAGAAATCAGTCACTCATGTCTGTCACCGTACAATTACGTTCCATTTTACCAGAAAACTGAAAAGATCAAAAATAATATTAGTTCAAAGAAAAATGTATAAACTAAAAATAAATTTATTTCTATTTATCTAGGCGGCATTATAACTATTTCATTAATATATAATATTTATTAATGTACTATTAGCCGTCCACAAATTACAAGGAGCCGAGATGGGGCGAGATATTTTTATTGGATCGTTCAATGGTGACTATTTCAAAGTCAAATGTGAAAAAATAACATCTCTTTTATATATTTTTATTGTCGAAAATTTGCTTTAAATATTTTTAGTTAATATATTTTTAATTTAGTTAAAATATTTTTCCAAAAACTACAACTAACAATAGTTTTTAAAATGGAGTTTGTATTTTTGCATTTAGACCACTGCAAACTAGCCGCAGGGGTCGCAAGTCTGATTGCCATAGACGAATCGATCCAGAGATAAACTGGCACTTTGTATAAGGCGGCGAATGGTTTATTACTAGGAAAATTTATCTTTTTGTAGGGCCGTTTTTGTTGTAAATCCTGTAGGCTGAGACAATGGGCACAGATGGGGCCCGTCCGTCCAAGCGTCGCGTGAGACGG